AAGATTTTAAATAATGTAGAAGGAAAAAAAATTAAATTTGTTGTATTTATAAAAAATGACGGATTATCATAATTTTCTTCTTACCGGACTCGGACATTCTTTATGAAATTGAGGAGTTCCCTTAATTTGCCTGACGTGTTATTAAAACGTGTGTTATAATAACGTTGCAAAGGAGGGATTGGTGTAGTTAATTATAAGTGCCGACGTAGTGCGAAATAGAGATTTTTAAAGGAGTAACATAAAAATTAAATGTTTGGAAAAGTTTGGCAGTTATCAAAAATGAATAGAAAGTTTCTAAATTACTGATAGTTTTTAATGTAGGAATATAATCTGTTGTTATAAGTTAAAAATATTATTTAGTAATTGTTTAAAAGAAAAGGAACATATCTCAATAGCGAGAGTGTTTTAAAGTAAGTGACTGCAAAAGCTTCGGTATATTGTGAGATCAAATATTGAAGAAGCTTAAATTAATCGAAATAGTGTTCGTATTAGTTGCTGTATCCAAATAAAATTGAATGTTGTGATGGCTTAAGTTATGTTAATTTTCAGGAAATCTATGCCCAAAATTGAATAAGCTGTTCATTAGAAAATACCTAATTTTTTCTTCGTGACATAAATTTAGTTTCTTTTAGAAAATTATTTAGAATATGCAGAATTTCATCTAACACAAAAATAAAAAATTTGGTGTGTATGCCACATGACTTCCTTGTACGGAATATTAAATTATACGCGATTTTCGTGCAATTCATTTAAACATATTGAATTAACAATTAACGAATTTTGAATTTAAAACTACTTCGTCGATAGCGCATAAACCATAATAGAATAAATGCACTCTTTAAGGTTCACTATATTTATTTATACTTCGGCGACACTTCAGCGCTAGCTTCACTTAACAGCGTTACAACGTATTCATTTTATAACTCGGAGTCCACAAAAATTATATCATCTGAAGTATTACCTCGTGTTCTATACAAATTCAATAAATAAATCTAAAACGATGTTTAAAAGAAATTAAACAAATAATAGAGAAACAGTTTTTCACAGACGATTCAACGCCGCTTACTTAATGCGCTTGCGCTACTAATTATTCAGTTCTCACTTCGCGGCAAGGCAAAAATACATAAAAATTCAAACTATTTTCATTAAAAATTGAAAGATATTAAAACTCAAAACACCAAGTACAGTTAAAACAATTTTTAAAAAAATTCTTACAATTAAAACTGTAGTTTCTACGCAAAAACAAGCTAATAAGTTAAATGATAATTTCAGAATGAATTAAGCATCCTTTAATTCGCAATAATAAAGAAGACGTTACTTTGTTGTTGCGAAGTTTAGTTTCGCTAGATTGGCGGGGGAAAAAATCCACTATTTTGCGAAGTTTCAAATGTATACAAATATGGCTGCCATGCTAAATAAAAATTAGACTTAGCCGCACTTAAACAACTTTTATATTGTTGATAATTCTGCAACTATAACATGCAGGGTAACTAAAGGCATAAAAGCCTTAACCGGAAGATAAGAACGTAATTCAATCATTTTTAAAGCAAAAAATGCCCAATTTACAAAAAATATAAGAATAAAGAAACTGAGCTCAGCTGAGTAACAGAGTGGATATATATACACATATATTTATACACTTTCCCGGTGCGTCCGATTGCAACCAAAATGGGAGGTGCACATCTACTGTTGTAGCAGTCCTATATACAAAATTTGAACTTTTTGAATATACTCGTTTTTGACTTATGCGGGATACATACGTACGTACCTACAGACGCGACGAAAAAAATTAATTTTAAATGAGTTTTTATAATTTTTTGGGGCGGAAAATTCATTCTGTCCTTACGTACAGATGTGACGCAAAAACATCGTTAAATTGCATTCGATAACGGTCAAAATGGATATTTTCGTTGAAATATGATACCCGAAATTTTTTGCGATTAGAATAATTCCTTTTTACTTCGTACAAAGAAGTAAAAAAACATATAATACAGAGTGTGTTTGCACATTTTTAATTATTTCAGGACCATTTAATTAATGTTTAAAATATAATTTTTTTTTTTTTCTTTTTTTTTTTTTTAATGTTCGATTAAAATCACGATGCAGACGTATAGTCAGAAAAGGAGCCTTTTCTGACTATATGTCTGCATCGTGATTTCCTTGATAGAAAGGCTTTTCTTAAAATTTGCAGCGGTAATGATTTCCATTACGTTCCGAGTGCATCAATAGTAATGGGTTTCTATTTTACAGTACCTCTGTGAGTCTTCGGTTTTTCAAGGCCTGCAATGGTACTTTTCGAAATATTACCCTCTGGTTTGTCTTGATCAAGTTTTATTCTTTGAAAGTCATCGAGATTTCTTCTGTAAATATCTGACGTAAAACTTTATCTTGATAGTATATTGAGTTGATTTTAACATTTTTTCGCACACTTCTTGTTTTTAATTCCCATTGTAAGCGAATCCTGCGATAGTCATAAACTCATTACTGAAACTTTCTTGGCATTAATGGAATCACGTCTGTATATTTTTTTCTTTTCGCTTTCGATAATAAATAAATCCCCTCTCTTTTTTTTTTTTTTTTTTGTTTCGTTGTTGTTGTTGTTGCAGTCATTTAAGTAAATCCATACTTTATGAAGGGTCGCAGTGTATTTCCATTTATCTACTAAATAGTTTTTTTTTCGACGACAAATTGTTCTACGTTGAGCCACATCCCTTAGCAAAAGCTGCTAAACATTGTTTTGTTAGCTTATTTAACCCTTTCCGGCACGCTACCTTTTAAAGTTGGAGTTTTGATTTAAAGAAAAAAAAAAAAAGGCAGTCTAATTGGGCCTAGAGGAGTACACAAGTAAAATTTTGTGAACATAGCACTTATCGTTTAATTCTGTGGGTGTGCCCGAACTCAAGTGGGCACGAAGCTCTATTCAATTTTTTCGAAGCTCGTGGGCACACTGATTGGGGAATAGAGCTTCGAAAAGAGTGCTGAAACGAGCATTGTTGTCAATGAACTGACCGATGAGATGCGGAGAAACAAAGAATATAGACTCTCAGTTGTCCTAGATTATCGGTGAGCCCGGTCTGGGCACACCTAGGGTTCGCCGTTTGATTTTAGGCAAGATTTCAAGGTTAAAATTTAAAACTAATATAGAATAAGGAGATTAGCATACAGCCAAAAAAATAACATAGAAATTCCTTTTCAAACAATTCCTTTTATACCCTAAAAAAATCTGGAAGATATCTTTGAAAAATGAGGGTCTTAAAAAACTAAACATGGCTAAAATATATGGACTGGTTTGTGTTGAGCTGCCATCTACTATAAATAAAGAAGGTTCAGAGTAACCTATAGTAACCTATTAATCCTTTTTCATTCAGTTTTTCTGTGCGTACAGAAGGAAAATTTTAGGTGTGTCCAGACCGGACACACTGTGCCGCAAAAGGTTAAATTGTAAATCTTAGTTTTATTTTATTTATTGTTATTACAGATCTATTTAAAGACTTTGCAACTGATTTCTTTGTCGACAGAATTTCTCGTTACCAATGATTTAACTATAGAAGCATTGCAGACTTTTTTCGGGTATTCGTTTGGAGTCTTCTTTCCATGTAGAAATAATGATCGACGGTGTTTCCTTTTCCGATTAGTAATATTACTTATTTTGAACATTGAAATACTAATACCATGCATTTAACAACGTCTTTGACTTATGGAATAGGAGTATTTCTCTTCGGAAAGCGCAAATACTCTCCTTCGCTCCACATGTTTCCTACACTCTTGTTTGTATGCTACATTTTGAAAGAAGAACAAAATTAAAAGTAGCAAACGATATTTTTCATTTCAAATAATAAACTGATGCCAAAATTGATATTCCAAAACATTTGCTTTGCATTAAAATTCTTTATTGAAATCGTTCTATAAATGTGTGAACACCTTCCGTATTTAAACTTTTGTAATGTTTCGAAAGAATAAAGTATACACTCAGTCACAGTATCTGCAGTCAAAATTTTTCTGATACCGATGTAAGAACGCTTGGCGAAAAATTAGTGTTCTGTTATGTTTTCTATGATTGTTGTTTTAAGAAACAGATTAGATTAGAATAATTGAAGAACTACTAAGGGAAATCATCTTTATTACTAAATTGCTATATACGTTGACGGTTCTAAAATATGATCGCCCACACGTAGCTGGGTAGATAAGACGCTGAACACTGGTAGTTCGTCTCGGATCCAGATCCTAATGGGCTAGCTTCATGGGTTTCTCGTGGTTTTCACTCCACGTAACATAAATACGAAGTAGTTTCCTTAAAATGCAAAACGAAGGGATTGCTTTTCTTGGGCAAATAACCGTTGTGTGTCTTGCCTTAACCGATTAACCTAATCAAATGTAATCTTCCTTATCTTATTATGTTTACATGCCGTAACATCTCTTTCTACAATGATCGGGAAGAGAAGGAAAGAACTAATGTTATGTTACCGTTCTTGGAAATATGTAACAGAACCGCTGGATTATTGAACTGTTTGTGATTTTATAATTGTAATACTGCCTGTTAATCTTTAAAGCTGGTACAGGTCTCATTAACTTTGGGAATAGTGGAATGAAATCATGTATAAAAAGTGTATGAATAACAAAAGTGAACTCATTAGGATTATTTTGTTTAATGGTAAATGCCGCATATCCATTCCATATTTTCCTAACTTTTTGTTTTCTTGCTATAATCAGTACTTGTATTCTCTTTGCCCGATCTAAATGTAAACAGAAGCAGTGTGAACAAATATTATTTGGGCAATTCGAAGATTCCAGCAGTGGAGGGATATTAATTTCCTCTTAAAACGTTTCATATAAGACATTATTTGCTGTAGAGTTATAACTGGAAATTTCTTTCATTTCACCTGCTAAACTTCAGTAGTATCGCAATAAAAGTTGTCAGTTTGTTTTATGAGGGATATTTTTTGCTTCATATTTACACGAGTAATACGTTCTGATGTACTTTAATTCCATTTCCGAATTGTAAGCGTCTTTTATTTTTTAGCTGTTACGACGGAGTTTGTTACTTGCAGATTCTCTTTGTAGTTAGTATTGTCGCTGGTATCATGTATTAAAGTATGAACCGCCTTGGAATGTTATCAGAATTCTAATGCTCTGAAGTAGTGTTTCCCGAAAAACCTTTAAAAAAGTCAACGGAACTCCCGCCTCCGAAAGCAAGACCTTCAAAAACGAGATTATGATTTCTTATTTTTAGCTGTATATGCTGTTTGTTGAAGCTTGTGACGTATTGCATCTATCACAAAATCTGTGGATGTTCAGGGTTTTGTTATCCGTATCTTTGCTCCTGAGGAAAATTATCATAGTAATGTTCAAGGTCTATATTCTCATTAAATTTAAATAGGTCTTTGAAATTTATTCATAATTTGCTACGCTGTGAAATTTGTATAATTTGTATTCCTTGTGTATGATCGTTCGTTAAAGAAATTGTCAATAATATAAACGTTAGTTTAGTTATATGCTTTTCAGTTAGTTTAAGTATTAAGCATATCTATTTCATCACGAATTCATTTGCCTTTTGGTTATTATTACATATGAAGACGTAAAATATTCATTAGATATTTCTGCTAGCGAATATAAATTTAAAATGGGAAAGCTCATTAACTTGTTGTGGTTTATAAGCGTAGAAAATGCTTAGCTCATTTTTTTTATTTCTTGAATGAATTATTCTTTATCCTCTTAATTGCTTAATATTGTAAAATGATGCCCTTTAGAAATAAAGCTTCTGAATAAAATGCATATGTTTATTAATGTACATATACGATATATGTGTTACATTTATTTAAGTACGAGTAATATTATAGAAAATAGCAAGCTTGTTATGAAAGTATTTTGAAGTATCTTTAAAAACAAAATAGTAGTTAAATTCTTTTACAATATTGCCAAATATAGAATGTTGAATTTTTGTTTTTGTTTTTGTTTTTGTGGAAACCAGCTTTTTGCGATAAGGTTCTAATCATGTACTAGAAGAGGTATCCCACAGAGCCATGTTTACGAAGTTCTCTATTTGAAGTCTGTGTGAATCTATATGGATTATGGTAACGATCAATCGCAAGATTGTCTCTTAATTGCTAATGATTCGCAGTGATAATGTGTTCAATATTTCTATAGGGCTACTCAACGAAGAAATTGTTTTCGCATTTGTGAAGATAGGTATGCTCGAGCCATTTATATTTTCGTCTTTACGAAGGTGTATGCCTTGTAACAGCTTTAAATAGTATTAAAATTTTGTAGTTTAAATAATTTAAATAGATGAACATTAAGGTATTTGTGAATGGCAATATTTGAAAACAGACTCGAGTGCCACGTGCGACTTCTCGCACGAAGAATGTAATTTATTTTTAAGTGATAGAATATGTTTTCTCTTCTTGTTTGTATGTCGCCATTTTTGAGTGTTAAATAAAAGTTATTGCTGTGTTCCATCATTGGAGTTGCTTCATTTCGCCAAAGAAGCATCACAGCCTTTAGTACACTGGTGTGCAAAAATTAAGGGCGAAGTCGAAAAATTAGCATATCAGCTGAACGAAGAGGCAGAGCGGACAGAAAGACCAATCAGGAGATTAAGTAAGGTGATGTACGGTAGCACATGCGCAGATATGCAGGTAGACGTAATGGGGGAGTGTCTGAGTAGTATAAAGCATGTTGTCGGTGTAAGATCAGTATTTCTGGCAAAGAGATTGCACGCCGTATAGCAGTTAAAATGACACCGAGTTGCTGCCTCAGCGAGAAATGGCGAATAATCAATCTGTTAGACACCATCTGGATGCTTTTACCCGAGGTCGAATCATTGGGAATTTGGAGGAAGGCCGCAGTGTGACAAGTGTGGCTGCAGAGTTCGGAATTGCTCCCAGCATCGTTTACGACTTTGGAGCCAATTTCAAACTACAGGAACAGCTATCCGGGGGTTTAGTAGTGGTCCTCCACGAGGAACCACACCCGCAGATGACCGGTATATTGCCTTACAGGCCAGAAGAAACAGGCGGCTGACAGCGGGAGAAATCACTAGACACACGACACAGGCGACTGGACGACCGATATCGCGTTTTACCGTGGCCAGAAGACTGCACGGTGGTGATCTGTTTGCACGACGCCCTGTACGGTGTGTACCTCTAACGCCTGCCCATCGGAGAAGGCGTTCTCTGTGGTGCCGGGAACACCGGAATTGGAGAGACAATGAATGGGGCGAGTACTCTTTACAGATGAGAGCAGATTCAGTCTGAGTAGCGATTCTCATCGCATACTCATCTGGAGAGAGCGGGGAAGCCGCAATCATCCCTCGAACTCATTGAAAGGGACAGGTATGGAGGTGGCGTGTTCTCGTTTGGGAGGCATCATACTTGGTAGTCGTACAGACCTTCACATCTTCGACGCAGGTTCAGTCAACGGGACCCGTTATTGTAACGAGATTCTTCTTCCATATGTGCGTCTTTTTAGAGGCGCTATGGGTCCGCAGTTCCTTTTCATGGACGACAATGCACCATGCCATCGCACAGTAGCTGCCGAACAGCTCTTAGAGAGTGAGGATATTGAACGTATGGATTGGCCGGCACGATCTTCGGATCTCAATCCCATCGAGCATGTATGGGATTTTCTAAGCAGACGCTTGGCAGCTCGTACCTTACCACCAGTAACGATTCCGGAGCTTCGATTGGTGCTGCAAGACGAATAGGCAGCAATGCCTCAACAACTCATTGACACCCTCATTCTCAGCATGGGCAGACGCTGTAAAACCTGCCTAGCGGTCAGGGGAGATCATATTCCCTATTAAAGACCGGATGTTTCTTGCTGGACACCCATCACAGGGATGTTTCGGCCTTCAGTCGCATTGCGCTCCATGCTACTTTTTCAATAAAGCTTCTTTTTATCCCTCTGATTTCTCTTTTAGTAAGTGTTGCTTACATTACTCATGTCCTTACGTATTGGGGATCTTACGGTATTAAATGTGTTGATTTGGAAAGCTTTTGTACAAAGTTATATTAAAAAAACCGTCTCGTCTTTAATTTTTGCACACCAGTGTACATAGCTCTCGAGTTTTGCGACAGTATTAATTAACACGTGAGAGAGGAGAAATTTAACAATAATCCTATTTGCTTTCGTAGTGTTTTTCAAATCTATTAGAATAAAGTGGCATTCTAAGTGTCTATCCTTCTTAACATTTGGAAAAAATTGTGAAAATTCTACACTTATTTCTCTTCTATAATTTTTTATAGAAATTATGAATAATATAACCGGTATAATTAATTTTTAACTAAAAGAAAAGCTTATTTTTAAAATTTTAAATGAATTTGCCATAATTTTAATTTTACATTTTTAATTAAAATATGCTGTTCATTTTAAAAATTTATTATAGCAATAAGTGAACCTTTTCACCCAATAAATGAACACAATAGCTGCCAAATTTCCATTTATTTATAAATGGCAGGATAAATAATCGAATCATCATTTGTGGAATGTGATGGTTTGATCTTTCTAATGTAGGGGTCAATAAATGGGAACGTAAGAAAATCGTCCTTTCACAAATTTTTCTCTAGGTTCATTGATAATTATTGTAGTATAATAATAACGTAATAATAATAACAACTTCCTTCCTTGCCTTTTTTTGGCATATATTTTAATTTAAATGCATTTTTCTTTCACTCTTTTTGTCCATTTTGTTTTAAATGCATACTTGAAAAAGAAACTGCTTTAATTCAGCATTTGAGCATTTGATTAAATTTGAAGTGAATTCCTTCAATTTCTTTTGTAATGGAGAAGCGTTCTTCTTGTTCCTAAAGAATTACTTTAGTACATTTTAGAATAAACTTGTTTACTAAGTTATCATTTATTTTATTTCAGAAGTTAAATAGCTGCAGTTACGTGTCGTAGAAACATCCTGCTGTCAGCTTACTGTTTCATGATGTTCGTTGACGCCAATTATTTTCAGCCTTGATTAGCCACCTGCTTAATTAATTCCAAGGTCTGCCATCATTTATGGCGCAGAATTCCAGAGGTATTCTAGACGTCTCACGAAAGAAAAGAATGCTTTTTTTTTCATTTTGCTGTTGCTTGTTCTGGTTCGCCCTTCGCCACCTGTCTGCTCACTTGAACCAAGTAAATTATGTCGTAGTAGGAAGTAGGGTCCAAAGCACTTCATTGTGTTTTAGAATAAATTCAGTAAATTTTAGCAAATCTTAATATTTTTCGTATTGCTGTAGGAGAAAACTTACAATATTTGCATTTCACATTGTATTGTCGGCCTGTTTTTCAACGTAAAACAGTTTTCAAAGAAGCAACAAATCTTTGAAGCTAACCTCTTCAACAAATGATTGATATTTAAAGAATCTAGATTGTGTTTGATTTTTGGTTATGGTGATACACACTTATTTCTTTATGTTTACGTGATTACCATTCCCGTTCTGTGTGCATAAAATGCTTGACTTATTTGAAATATTACTCGTAACTGTTTTACAATATCTGAAAATGGTCTGACTGTTCTTCTCACAGACAGGTATCATAAATTATCAAAACAATTTGATCTGTTTCATGTGACTTGTAATTAATTAGCAAAGATATGCATCGTGTGTTGTTTTAAGAAGAATGTGGTTTATAATCTTAAACTTTATTTTTACAATTTTTAGTGAAAATTTTTGTTTCAAATTACTACATTGTTTGATTCTCCACATTGTTATAAAATTTAATAAGTATTCTGAAATTTGAGATTTATTTTGGGGATTCTAAGTTTCTTCATTCGCTTTTCTCTCACCCTAGAATATCTACGAAGTATTTATGTGCGGTTTAAAAATAAAATTTAAATGCATTGTTTTATGAATAAGCATCGCTAGTTATTAATAGAAAGCTGAAAAAAAGTATTAAAGGCGGTTTTAAAAGCTTGATTTGCATAATTCCTTCCCCTTGACGTTGTTTTCTTCTCCCAAAATCATTTTCTAATAATTGACTACTACGTGGCTTGTATTTCATTTGGTCTTCATTGACTAAGTTTAAACTATGTGGATAAACGATTTTTAATTCTCCGAAACTAGCTTTTAGACTTGAGATATTCATAGAAAGGAGAACGAGATTTAAACAGCTTAATTTTATAATACTTAATTTTTTGTAGATAGTAATCGAAATGATTTTAATAACAGATGTTTTTAATTATCTCAGAAAAAAATTGTGCGATCTCTTTTTAGCAATCTCACACAATTTATGCCTTAGTATAGAGGCCCTTTAAAGTAAAATTATTACGTGAAGAAAGAGTAAGCCCTTCTAAACGAATAAGCGAGAAACTATCAACCGTAAATTCTGAGCAACGTTCATGTCGTGTGTATGGTGCAATAGGATTGATGGTCAGAACTTTAAAGAGGTGATTGAACATAGTAAAAGTAACAATTTCCAGAATACTGTGAGTGGTGGAATGTGTAATTCAAGCGCCGAAATATTGTATTGATGAAGAAGTAGAGTTAACGAAAAGTTGTTTTAATGTCGAATATTTACAGGAAATAGTGTTTGATGTTTATAAGAATTTTTTAAATGAATAATCAGCAACTTCAGTACATGCATCACATGTATGACGGATTTCATTTTACGTGACGTTTATTGACTTCCTTGAAGATTATGCTGGCGTTGCTGCTGCAAAATACGTGACATGCTGGCCTTCTTCTAGACTGTGCCTATCATTTCATCGTCGTTATATATGTTTTTCAGATCCTAGTTGTTTATTTGAACAATTCTTGTAACTCAGATATTTTTCCTTCTAAATATCCGTGATTAAAACGATTATGTTTCCCCCCCATCGATGTTTTTAATACTTTTAATGCTGGTTTATTTTGAAAGAAAGTATATACATGAAGAATGTTTTCGAAGGAATTATACCTATATAAAAATATTGTGCCGCAAAAGTTTCGAAGAATATTAGTATTTTTTTTAATTCTAACATATTTTTCAACCGATTTATTTATAATTGGTTTGTCATGGAAAACATTGGGATTAAAATAATGGCCTTAGTGGTTTATTACTGTTTAAATTTTTACTCATTATGTGTGTTTGTAGCGGCGTTATTAATTCTTTTAATGTTACGTTTTTAAATAAAATTTTTAGCAAAAATATTTTTAATAGAGTGGTGTCGAAAAGAATTTACGACACAAATATCTAAGGAAAAGTAATTTTTAATTTATTTTGTTCTACTTATTGTATGTTTGAACAAATTTATTATCATAAAATTGATAATAAATTATCATAAAAATGTTCAAATATATGGTAGTAATGCCGAGTATGTTGAATAAATTGTGGTGTGGTATATCATAATAAAATTATTATTCATAATATATATTAATGAAATTTAAAATGAAAATGTTGGAAAATGCTAGTTCACGTCATGGTCAGCGACACTGGTGAGATTCATATGGACCTTCACATATAAAGGTTAATGGAAATACATTTTTAACTTAAAATTTTGAAAAAACAAATATTCCGAAGAAAATGTAAATGATCATAAACTCATTTTTTTAGTGTACCTGATACTAATATTTTATATTTGAAATTTCTAGAAAAATACAATGCGTTAGAATAAAATAAATGAAATTATGAACGAAATTTATACAATGCTTCAACTTTTGCGTTATTTCCTTAAAGGTAGGTTCGTGAATAAATTCTCCTTCAAAATAAAATTACATTACAGTTGGCAAATTCGATCTTGTAATTTTTAATTAGTATCTCCATGAAGTACTCCATACTAGCTGTTATTCGTTGGTGAAAAGAGAATTTAAATTATATGGATATGGCTTAGAACGTTATCCTTGACTTGCTTATTTTTGAGAGGTGCGCCTCATCGGAGGAAAAGTGATAAAACGACTGATGTATATGTCTGTGTTAATGATAGTTTATTAGCTATGTAGATTTCATTTCAACATTCTAAACGCTCCTGAAAAATCGAAAGCAGTTTTTTTTTAACAGGTAAACATTGTGGCCTGTTTGTGCAAGGTAATGGAATTTCTTGTTAGAATGAATGTTTTCATCTTTACTGCTTCTGCAACTAAGCATTTCTAATTAAAATGTTTCTTCGTGCAATTTATTTATTTATTTATTTATTATTTTTATTTATTTATTTATTTATTTTGTTTGACTGCCAGAATTTTATCTGGATTTTCTTTTATGGTTTACTACTTGCTTTTGATGCATATTGACCATTTCTGAAAACGTTCTTTTCAATTAGAAAAGTGCATGTATCTGTTTAACACGTATAAAGAACACATGTTCATTATAACGCAAAGGCACACATGCGTTTTTAATGTTTGTTTACCTATTTTACTATTTAAAAAACATCTGAAGGCAATAAAAAAATCAAAGAGCATTTAAATCAGCAAACAAAGATTTTTAAACATGGCTGATGATAAATGTATTACAATTTTGAAACTTTTATAAAAGCAGAAAACTTGTTGGTCCAAAACATTGACGTATTATATACTGGTGTAACACAAAGATCACAGTTCCCTCAATTCCAATTAACCAGTGTTACCAATTTCAGAACGTAAAAATGCCCATCGGTCAGATGGATCGATGTGTACTTATAGGTGTTAAATATATTTTATAAATTCGTAAGACCCCTTTTTTATTTCAAATTCTTAATTGTCTGTCTTTATTATAAAAATTCCAAAGCAGTTTCTCGCAGTGTATTTATTTTTGGAAGAATTTATAAAGTAATTTTCATGTATACATTCTACAATGATTTTGTTTTGATAGTTGAAATTGTAATAAAACTGTAACACTCAGATTTTATAATTGGTGCTTACAAATTCACGTAGTTTATGATGTTAGGGATATGTAGCTTTAAACATGGTTCATGATATTTTCAAACATTTAAGCTCTCTTTCTATTGTTATGAGTATGTGATCGATTTGTTTATTCTCGAAATATTTAGTTAGAGCGAGTCATGTCTGATATATTTTATTTCAAATGTGTTCTTTAAAAATGTTCCTGTTGTTAATTTTTCCAGACACCGCTGATTTTGTTTGAATGATTAATTTTTGCGTAATTTTTTCTATAGGTCGTGGATGAGGTGATGTAAAAGAAGCCCGGGACATGGAATGTGAAGAGCATGGATAATGAGCAGCCACATCAAGAGCATGTGAAATGCGTGGTGGTAGGCGACACTGCAGTGGGAAAGACCCGACTGATTTGTGCCCGGGCGTGCAATGCCCGACTCACCCTCAGCCAGTTGCTCACCACACACATACCTACAGTGTGGGCTATCGACCAGTATCGAATTTATAAAGAGGTAATTTTGTTTTAACACTCGAACTTAAGCTTTAATTTGCATGCACAAACGATTTTTTTTCCATCGTATCTGCAAGACAGCAGGATCGTCCAGCTCTTTCGTGTGAAGAGCTGTTTAAAAATTTTCGCAGTATTTTCAAATTCCAGATAAATAATGTAGGCAAGCTGAAATAAAATCTTTAGCGTGATAGATCCATGTGTCGCTTGGAAAATTTAATTGCGATTCTCGAAATTTATAATTTTAACATACAGATCCTACTTTTAACTTACGGCTCTCTACTATCATGAAGTTTGGCCACCTCTTGACTGTATACTTGTATATACAATCGTTTTAGATACCACTCGTAATCTAGTACTTCAGATCTCTGTATGCGTAGTCGTTGAGTGGCCTTGCTCAGGAGCCATTTCGCTGAAATTGTATACGTTAAGTGGGCTGCATTTGATTAACATTTTGTAGATAGTAATTTATTGTGACCATTCGTAGTCTAGTGCTTCAGATCTCTGTATGGGTAGTCTTTGAGTGGCCTTTGTCAGGAGCCATTCCACTGAAGCTGCGTATGTTAAGTGTGACAGGTGGGCTGCAATTTGATTAAAATTTTGTAGGTAGTAATTTATTGTCACAAATAATTTTTATTTATTTAATTTAAATACAAACATAATTTAAATACAAACATATGTCATTTTTTAATCTTTCCAGTTGCTAGTTTTTATTCCTTTAATATGTGGAATAATTAAACAGCAAGTTTTACTGCATGTTCATTTATTGCTATTTTTATTTAAATGAATTGAAAGCTACAGACTATAATGTATAATTAGAAATTAATAAATGGATTGATTATTTGAATATCAACGTGCTGCAAAATCAGATTGAACTGATATGGTAACACTAATGTGTTTTTTCCCCAAGTACTTTCAAGCACAACAGAAGGAATTTTTTATGATCAAAAATGAGAGAGTTAGAGAAATCGTATACATTTCTAAAACTATTTGTGAAGCCAGCTATATTTATGTATTCTGCGGAAAATTTTTCTCTATGAATAATGAAACGTTTAATATGAAAAATACTAGGTTTCCAATTTCGTTAACGCTAGTTTAATTCCGTTCGTATATTTTGGTTTTCTAGGTAAAAATTTGGAGAATTACTTAGTAAACACAAGTTTTATAGTGAATGATGATTTGTTTTCTTGGTGTTGATTCTGATTTGCAGGTAAAACAACTTTTACAGGAGCGAAACTGTTATCTTTTGCTGTAAAATGAGGTAATTGTGCACCATATAAATGCATTTACAAACGCATTGCATTGAAAAAAAAAAAAAAAAAAAAAATGTAACAGTGTTTCTTTATACTTAAAATCTGCATTTTGGAGAAAACTTTATATTCATTGGCCCCAGGAAAGAAATTTTTAAGTTCAAAAGACTGACAAGTTTCTCGAAAGCTGCGCTTCGTTCCTATGGCAACGAGTTCGCTTTACGTCACCAATGTAAACGGCGATATTCTTAATGTGGGGTGACGTCACAGAAATCATTGTGCTTGTCCAATCAAACATCATAAAATGATGCGGTTATTCAGTCTGTTCCACATTTAGATTGAATGGTACACATGATTCAGCTTTTCTCTTTTAGAACTATCCCCACCCTATTTTTCAGGGTTTGATCACCATTTTTCCAACTGCTATAGATATTTGATCTTTTCTATGAGCTATTTATTGCTTTTAAAAGCGCTTTTTTTTTTACTTCATCGGGCTAACTACTTCAGTGATTTCTTTTAACCCACTGTGAAGCTCTTAATTGATCGTATTTCATTCACGTTCATCTTCAGATTTTCCCATTACTGTCAAACATGCAAATTTCGTATTAAGTTATATTTAAAATTGGTTTGCCATGGTTTTCCAGAACTGAGGATTTTGTTTATTGTTTTTTGTTTATTCTGCTCTTACTGTGCATTAGATGGCATTTCACTGTTCAGCGTTAAGGTTTAAATACTAATGTGTGTTTCTTGTTGTAAAACTCATTTAAAACTCTGATAAGATTTAGAGTAGCGTATGTTTATTTGCTTCATATGTTTGCATTATGTTTGATAAAGTGTGAAATTATTGTAAAGCATAAAATAATAAAAAAAAATTATTTGAAATATAAACAAAACAGTTTAATATGCTTTTTAAATTTTGCATCATTTTCGTTACTGTACTCAGAAAAGTTATACGATCACTTTTTTTACGTGGTGCCACTATAAGTCTGGCTATATTTCAAGAAATCTTCTACGCGACAATTTTTTGGGCGAGTATTGATAGAGTTAGGTGCTGTTGACTGAGGCATAATAAAGTATCCGATAGTTTTGTCATGCTATGTTTAATTACTCTTTCTTCTGTTTTATTTCATTAGTGGGGAAGACTCATTCAGTGGTTATTTCGTTCAATTTCGGGGGAGGTGGAAATAAATGTTTTCCTAGAAAATTTGAGACTTAAATTCGTAAAATCACAGTTATTGCTTCCTCTTATAGTAAAGATCCCTAAGAAATGATTTTTCCCCGATAGCTAGCTTAATTAATTTACAGCCTGAAAGTACACTACCCGACATTGAAAATGCAATACCAAGAAGGAGTGGGCCGCATTATGCAAATTTCAAGATAGACGCTCGTCACCCAGTTATGCGAATGATGTGAAATGCGCAGTTCTTCAGCCCGCGTTGAAGAAGATATAAGGAACGGAACTTGCAAAATGTTAAATTTTTGTGCTGTTATTTCTGATAGGGAAATCATCGTAGAAAATTTGTTCTTGTCTCAGAGGACGCGTGTAATAGCAGAGAATGCCAGGCCGTCGTCAACGAAGGCAGTTCTAGCAGACAGACGATTTTACGAGGGACATGGTGATCGGACTGAGAGGGGCGGGTAGGTCCATACAGCAAATCTCAGCTGATACATAACTCGACGCGTCCACAGATGATGGTTGTAATAACGAAATTTGGCAAGTTCGAGGGGTGTCGGTGCAGCTAGAGTGACGTCAGCGTGTGTGGATCAACGTATCCGCCGACACGCGGTGGCTAATCAACAAACCACTTCTACCTCCATTCTTTAGCATGTTCAAGACACTTTAGATCAGTGGTGGCGAAACCTTTTGGGGCTACGTGCCCGAAATAGAATGGCTGCGTGCCATTCCGTTTAAGATATTAAATTAGAATTATTTATAAATTACCTCCAAATGCTTAGATCTGAAAACTAGAATCTATTTAACAATAAAAGTATTTAAACTCACCAGCAGTCTGCAATAAATTTAAATTCGTTCAGCAAAAGTTAGCTGCATGAACTTTGGCGTATTCTTTGCCATGTAACAAGTAATATGATTGGCCCAAACAATTAAAACGTCATAAATTGGATCAATAAATATGTATATCGTTTCTATGGCGATATATGAAAATCTTATGTCTAGGCTTAGGCTCTATGCCAGTCACAATATGCGATAAGTAAGTAAAACGTTCAAGACAGACTAAAACACTTATTTTACATAATATCATTTTATTGTGATTATTGATTAAGGAAGTAATATTTTAGTCGCGTGCGCGGATAAGGCTCTGCGTGCCGACTGTGGCACGCGTGCCATAGGTTCGCCATCACTGCCGTAGATGTTCCCATATCGACCAGAACCATTTGTCATCGATTGGTGGCTAGTGGCCTGCACTCGTGGCTTCCGTTAAGAAGATTGTCATTGACTCATATCACAGACGCCAACGTCTGCAATGGTGCCGGGCTCGAGTGATGTGGACGACGGAATGTCACAGGGCCGTGTTCTCATATGAGTCACACTTCCATTTCTCCAATATTAGTCGCCACGTACGAGTGTGGTGTCGATTTAGAGAAAGTTCCAATCCGGCAGCAAGTGCGGAACGCCCCAGCGCGCGGCAGGCGCAATTGCGTATGATTCCATGTCACCTCTATTTCGTATTCAGGACACTATGACGGCACAACGACACGTGGATGATGTGTAGCGGTCGGTGACAGTTCTCTATCTTTAGGAAGTGCACAGTACTTTTTATCAGCAGGAAAACGCCCGACCACACACTGCTCGCATCAGCCAACGTGCTGTGCAAGGTGTACAGATGCTTCCCCTGGCCACCGTTCTCTCCTGATCTCTCACCAATCAAACACATTTGAGATGTGGTTGGACATCATTTGCTGACCCTGCCATTGCCGCGTTCAGAAGGTGAACTGTGGCAAATGGTTGACAGGGAATCAGTGGCGGCTCGTAGCTAAAATTAGTAGGGGTGCTGTTCCAAAAAATTTTAGCCTTTGTTTTAAAATTGTGTAAAAGAAAACAAACATGTATAAAAAGAAAATTTATTTTGAAACTTCATGAAATCTTACAAGAACAAAATTAAACATTTCTTATTTACTTATTTATTTCTAAATTGTTACAGTTTAATCGTTATTTATTCATTTAAAAATGAAATCCATTCTTCTTGTTTTAATTTGGGTTAAAAGATCAATATTTTTCTCCTTGATCTCTGGATGACAACTGAAGAAATTTTTTTCTATTGATAGCACTGCAAGCGCATTTAGTATTTCAGAGTTTATAGTACTTCTTAGAAAAGCGTTCATTCTTTTCAATGTTGAAAAGCAGCGTTCTGCCTCTGATATAGTCATGGGAACTGTCAAGAGAATTTTTATGAGTTTTGTAATTTCACTAAGAACATCGTCTAGATTATTTTCCAAGATAAATTTCAGTAGCTCAATTAATTTGCAGTACTCATGAATATCAGACCTACAATAGAATACCTTTAGTTCAGTTGCAAGTTTTTCTTTGTCAATCATTGGATATGCTTCAGTGGTCAGTACCATTTCTTCTGTAGGATGTGCATTCCTAAAACTAGAGAAGCATTTCTGTTGAACAATTTAGCAGCTGCTATAAGTGTTTAGTGGTTCGCCGTTGCGATGTGTCTGTATTACTGTGATATATTTGGTGTTTTCATTAAATATAAATGAAAGATATCGTCGTGTATTTTTGTATACC